TGCCTATTAGGGCTTGCTTGCTTCTCATGCCCTAAAATTTAATTAGTAAGCTAAAGTTAAGTACTAATGTCACACCCGATTTTAAGGATAAAATGGGATGCAAAATCTTATGTGCGTCCAGAGATCAGTCACACACATAAGCCGATAAATTATAAATATTATCATCACAAGTGTTTATTACATCACGAATAATAAGACATAGTCTTCACATAAATGTAGCAGAAGTATAAAGAAAAAAAATCTCTCACGGAAGCTCCATATCACAGGGACGTCAACTGGTTGACCACAAGTTTAGTAATCCTCAGGAAAGTCGTCATTACCATAGCCATCTGTTACCCGTTCGGGATTTTTATCCAAATAATGAAAACAAACAAGCGTAAGTACATGTCGTACTCAACAAGTGTAACATGGGGTTCATGAGGCTCAAAAGGCTTGACACAGGTTTAACAGCATTTAGCTTTTAATTGACACAATTTTAGCATCAGTGTAGCAACAAGTTGTTTTAATCCCATACTAAACGCAAGATCAAGGTAAACATGAATAATGAATAGCATAAACGGATAATTCTTAATGATCATCTATTCCATAAGGGTTCCAAGGCCGCTCGTGACCGTAAGCATGGCTGATATACCAGTTTTATACTCTACAGAGGTTGTACACTTTCACTGTGAGTCGTGATACCCATATGCTCGGGTTAATTACTTACAAAACACTTCCAAGGTGAGCAGACAGGGGTCACTATGAAGCCTTTCAAAGGTTCGTATAACAAGTTAGGGCTGCTAGGTTTCTATGCCCTGCGAATGTAGGGATCCCCTTCCGATAGGCACAATGACACACAACCTATATACTGACGGACAGAGGCCGCACTATATCCAACACAAAACACATCCCTCTTGCGCCACAAAGGTAACCTCTAACAAGCTAGAAAAGGTCCTCATACTAAGCTAAAGCCAGAGCTATGTAGCCATCACATCTGTACTGTAAGTCCTAAATGATCACTTACAAACAAGTCCTTAGGGAGAGTAATCTGAAGCATTTAGAAAGTAGCTAAACACTCTAGCCCCCTGTTTTCAAGTTGCAAAAAAGTCATGTTTTAATGTTTATTGCATATACCATTAGTCAAGTTACAAGATCATGGTTTAGTTGACCACTAGCAAAGCTACCCAATGCATATCCCATAGGAACAAGGTATAAGTTCAATTAAAGGGAATCCCTATCAAGGTGATACATGCAACATGAATTAAATGTATTAAAGTTGATAGGAAACAAGGATAATCCCATGCTATACTTGCCTTGAATAAAGTACTCCTACTGATCCTGCTCGTCAAAGTAGTACTTTTGGTCACCCATGAATTGCTCACCGTCTATACTCGATAACCATAGCAACATACAAGCATCCAGAAGCAATCATGCATAGCAAACAAAAGCTATAGATTAGAATAGTACACCAAACAACATAAAATCCAGATGAAAAGTTTGTAAAACGAATCTACGTCTCGCTACGAACACACAGACGCGAAGATCACGAAAATCGGAGCTAAAACGAAGAAGCTATGAATTAAACAATGTTTCCTTTAATAAAATGATAGATTAAAACTAATCTCAAATTTTAAAAGTTGAAAACATACCTAATAGTGGTATGAACATGTAGATTATGCAATTTCGAACCTAATGCAAGTTGAACGGGTCAAATCGGAGCTAAAACGTGAAAGTTATGGTCCATAGAAAACTAGTGGCAAAATTGTAAATAGGTGAAACTTAATTTTTGAATTAAAATCTGATTTTAAATCTGCGTAAGGACTTCGGATACGATTTAAAGAAAAGGCAGGGGCTCTTTAGAATAAATGCAGGGACGGCGGGTTAAGATCCAAATAATTATAAGGGCCTTTTTACAAAAACGACAGGTGAAGGGGTAAGATCTATTTTGGATCGTTCGATCCAGATCGGACGGATGGAATTAGATCGGGAGGGGGGAGAGAGAGCGCGGTCGCCAGAACAGGGATGAGCGCGGCGGACCTCCATGGATGACGGTGAAGAGCTCGCCGGCGGAACCGGTTTAGGGCCTACGGGCCACCATTTGGCGAACCAAGGGCACGAGGAGAGAGAGAGAAGATTACGGCAGACTCACCGAAGGGCTTTTCGCAAACAAAGGCCGGACTGCGGCGGCGTGGGGCTTGGTGAAGCGGACGGCGACGGCGGTGACTCGAGCTGCTAGGGTTTCACGGCGGTTGGAGCAAAAGCGAGGGCGGTGGCTGGCGTTTTAGGGTTTGTTGAGGGCGGCGCAGTGCGGGCCGGCTTATATGAGGGCCAGAGGCTTGTCGCGCACGCCATCCGATCGAATCGGGGCGGAGGCGGTCTCTCGGTCGGAGTAGAGTCCGGCCTGGACTCGTGCTGGAGGAGGGAGACGCGGCTGACAAGGCGGGCCCACCTGTCGGGGAAAGATAGTGCGGGACCAGCGGCCATTGAGACAGAGGGAGAGAGCAAGCGGTTGCGGTGGTTGTGCTGGGCTGCGAGGAACTGGGCCAGCATCAGGCCCATGCGGGGAGAGAGGGAGAGGGAGGAGTAGGAGCTCTAGCGGGCTGGGCTTGCAGGCCAAGCTAGAGAGGGGAAGGGGGCTGCCATTGGGCCAGCAGGCCAGAAGAAAAAGTGGAGGGAAATTTCCTTTTATTTTCTTTTCAAAATTTCCAAAGAAATTTTCAAATCCAAATTCAAATCAATTTGAAGTTTGATTTCAAACCACGCAATTCAAAAATAATATGCAGCAGCATGAATGCATAAACATGTAGGTAAACCCTATAATTACTTTTAAGTTAACAAAAGTTATTACTTTTCTAAGTTTAAATGCTCACAAAAATACGTAATTAAATCAAATTCTCCTATTTAAAAACAATGTAAATTTTAGGGTGTTACAACTAACTTTAGACTATTTTAGTTCACTTGTGTAGTCTAATGAACTACTGACTTTTTTATGAGGTTGGTTAAATTTGACAATATTTTAGACTACATGTTTGGAAATTTAAGAGCTAAAGTGGTTTAAAGTTTAGTGGCAAAACTTTAGACCGTGGCATCCAAACGGGGCATTTTTGCTGCATTGCTCCCTATGTTCTTCCTACCGGTTCCGAATGTACCAGAGTCTTTACTCCTTATTAATTATCTAGTCAGCCAGTGATGTTACCCATAACAAGTCCGTTTAAATGGAGCTCACTGTCGTCACAAATAACGGCCAATAATACAACTATAAAATGGTTTACAGTAGTAAAGAAAAATGGGAGGTAGTAATTTCCATATCGGAGCAATGCAGTGCAGAGGATGCGTCGGTTTCTAGGAGAATAGCACAAGGAGGAAGCTGCAGTGTAACTTCCGAGCAACATGACCTGCAAACCTTGTCTGTCGCTGTTGGCTTTCACTATCTGCGCCAGTTTTTACTTGCGAAATTGTCAAACCAGCGATCTGAGTTGCAACTTTGCAAGTAGCAGTTGTTGCAGGGAGGTCTGACTGGCTTCTGGTGATGATTATTGGAGGCTGCAGACACCTCTAGCTGCAATGGCGTGGATACAAGGGGACAAACAGAGAACAACTGTTTAGTACAGTGCTAGTCATCCATTTCTCCTCTGTTGTGCTACGAATATGCAGGTCAATAATTGACCTGGATGCTATATATGTGGAGAAATTTTACCATGGTTAAAAAAAATATGGGCCATTCATTAGGCGAGATCGAACGGTGGAAAAAATAAGAGGTACTCTATTCAAAGTACCTGAAGGTACCAAATAGGTGGGGATAGTACCAAATTAGTTGGGACAAGTACCCATATTTATTTTTTCAGAGAAATTTAATTATGTAATTTGTGTATTTTCATTAAGGGCAAAACTAAGATCTCGTATTCCATCTCTGTTTCAATCTAAGCCCATTCTTGCTCTGTTTTCTTCTCCCCATCGTTAGGAAGACCCGGAGCGCCGAGCGTCGTCCGTCTCCGCTGAGATCTGATGGGCGGTGGGGGAGTCAATGTGCAACTGTCGTAGGCAGTGGTCCTCAGCAATAGCAAAGGCGACCTTGATGTAGCTTGGGGGCCAACGGCATGTGGGCGGAGGCGGGAAGAGAGAGCGGCACATAGGTGCAGGATGGAGTGGAGTGGAGCGGGATGCTTTCCAGGCCGCCGACCTGCTTCCATCTGACCACACCAGCACATTCTGCTTCTTTCTCCACCAGATTGCCCAAGCATCCACCGGTTCATCCACCAGTCTGCGTACTAGCTCACTGGAGGCCGGAGCACGTGATCCAGCGGGCACAACGGTAGGCTCACCGGTGGCCACTTCGGAGACGCGCCGGCGCAGTCTGTACCTCGACATCAACATCGCCGTGATTGCTCACTTATGACTTGAAAGCTACAGAAGCTCGTCGAGCAGCACGGCGTCATCGGTGGGGGCAGCGGTGGCTAGGGGCTAGCCGAAGGCGGCGTCGCTGGATGCCCTGAGTGGAAGGCATCTGCGGGCTGTGTGGCTACCTAGTTTGAGACGCACGTGAGAGTGAGCCAGCGAGGCACCATGCTGCCTTGTCGGAGAAAGGACAAAAAACTCAATTACAAAATTACCCTCTACGAAAAAAATTACATTTTATAAATACTCTTTGTCAGATAATTAGCTAGAAAATAATACAAATGAAAGTACATGGAAGTACCAATGGTACTTTTCCAACCATGTCCAAATACATAGTGTTAGTTAAGACAAAACTCAAGACAACATGAGGGCTAAAACTGAATTCATGCTAATTTCAATCATACATATAGAGATCAGTCGTGTACAGAAATACAGCAAAGCAAACTACAAACCAAATATTCACATCCAGGCATGAAAAAGTAGTTTTTATTTGTCTGACAACGTTTTTTGAAGCACGGACCTTGACAAATTTTAAAACTATATATATAAGACGGCCCCCCGAAATTGAAGTAATGAGCTCGTACATAAATAAGTCTAAACACAAATCAGTCGCCACCTTTGAACTTCTACCGCTTTCTCTTAGAAACCCTCCGGCTGGGTCTTGGCATGGCCTTCAGAGTAACGGCTGCATAACCATGCGTGGAAACCCACGACAGAGTATAATCCGTGGGTTCTGGTTCATGGACCAAATAATCGAGCGCATCTGATCTTGCTATCTCCTCCAGTTGTTGCACACTACCACCGCTTCTATTTTCCTGTTTGCCTCCATACTCAATACGAATCTCTTCGTTGGAGTACCAAGGAAAATGAGGCAGAAAAAAACCTGTCAGTGACAGGGGTGCGTTACGCAAGCTGTTTTTGGGCGCTGAAATACAGCACCCAAATTTGACCAGAATAACTGGCTCCGGAATTTCGATTGAAGACTTGTTAGCTAGAGTTCCGCAGCTATTTCCATTGCAACATATTGGATAGGGGCGGAATAAATCTGTAAAACGTCCATTTATTTCTTTGATGATGGAACTGAATGGAAGATCATAGGAATAGGAATGGAAAGTGTCCTGCAAATTAGGCAGCAGCGTGAGTTCTCCTATTGCAGATTCAGCCACAAGCTTGAACTGAGATGTCAACCGCTGGATGCACTTAATACTCATCCCTATGATATCGGTGTCTTCGGAGATTCGTAGCCACAGATTTATAAAGAAGCGTTCCTCGAGCTTCCTGAGATCGTTATATTCATAACTTAGTTTGACCTCTACGCCACGCCCTTCTACAATCACGGGTTGTAGGTCTAAACTGAGGGAATGGCTTGGATTCTTTACGATTTGACACCTGAGACTTTTCCCTTCAAGAAGATGCTTAAGAAATGGATAGCGGAAGGTGTCATGCCGGAGTGGGCAGCCGGACTCCACCTCTGCTACAAACTTTTCAGCCCAGTCTGCATACCTCTCAAATTTTTGGGCAACGGAGGAACTCAACTTTTTCTCCTTGCCCAAGCCAACAAGAGAAGAGATGGAGAAGTTTGCAGCCCTGTCGACAATACGTTGAAGGTAAGAGGAACTCCTTACCACAACATGGCCATCATTCTCATCCTGCGGCTTGTGCTTGTTGAGCAGTTCTATCCCCTCCATATAGACTCTCTTGAGAACCTTCCTGCTACGTAGCAATGAGATATATGTGGTTGGTATCCTCCCTGTCTTCTCAAGGGCAATATCCAAGCGAGAGAGTGCAATCTCGAGCCTTGCGATTGTGTCTGCTCTGGACGCCTTGTCTTCGACCTTGGTTGAGATGTACGAGAACACTGTGCTCACACCCTCCTCAACGATGGCAGAAGGTAGTGCCATCAAGTTACCGTACAGCTGTTTTGTATATCTGCTGAGGATACAAAATAATGAGAGCTGTACATTGACACGCATATGAGACAAGCATGAAGCCCAAAGGATACAGATGGAATCTTATCTTACTGAGAAGAAACATTATTTTAGACCTTTCTTGTTAATTAATTATCACGAGACATGCTAGAAAAAAAGATAAATTTATAAACCTCTCACAAAAATAAAAGCATCAGTCCATTGATTTGTTATACTATCTAATTGTCATCAACAAAAACAACTATGGGATCTATTTTGTTTCCTAAAAAATTATTCACCCTCTGCCATTATGAAAATACACAAAAGTGACCACGACATGTATCAAAATTACCAACATTCCACTTATATCATGAAAGTAATCTAAAATCTTCATTTAATTAAATGACCCACCTATATCAAAAGTAATCTACAATCTTCATCTCGATTACCCAACTATGCCATCATGAATGATAATCCAAAATACCCACCTAATCTTCATCTAATTAAATGACCCAGCTATATGTCTTTATGGCGAAAATATAAAATAACATATAATTTTGTATTTAGGTGCGTTGTATCCTAAAGCCCAAAAGGTACAGCTCAAACATTTGGTGTTGAAATTCAACACCGAACACATAGCTCAATACCTCATGCTGGGATTTTAGCAAAACACATGAAAAGCACGCGTCGAGGTGAATGTCAAAGGGGAGAGCTATGAATAGGGAGTGAAAAGAGGTAACTAAAGTTTATTTCAACTGGACAAAAAAAAGGATCTTTCTATATATGTACGGCTGTTCGGCTGATGATTTTTACCGGATGATAAGCCGGCTGATGCTGTTTTGTTATGAGAGAAAAATATTGTATCATGACTGATAAATTGGGTTGAAAAGTTCAAGCAAAAAGGGCGAATTAAACTGTGAACCCTAGGTCTATTCATGGATTTCTAAAATTCATCTCTCTCAAGTTACTATAGCTTGGGCAGGAGCATGATTTATGGGCTAGGAGCTGGCAGCACCGTTACCTTTAGTTTCCTGTTACTGCATCAGAGAGGACAGGAGCAAACTGGCGATCCCATCTTCGTGTAAAGAATAGGAGGCCGGAGTCACCAAAGTGTGGCACTTTTGCGGATTCTTATGGAATCAAATGAGATGCATGCAAGCAATATATATAGCAGTAGAAATGGGGGCATATCGAACATATTTTCTGGTAGTCACTAATCGAAAGAAACCATGTAGTCTTTCCTCGTCGCTTGTCGTATTTTGTAAGTGGAGATCACTGTCATCTTTCTGATAGCCTTGCCCTCTTTTGCCAAGGAAAGACAATATAGCAGATGCTTCCTCTTGCTTTCCACGAAGCTGCGTTACTTGCCTTCGTAGTTCACTTTTGTCCTTACTGTAATGGAAGCTTACTATTGTTCTTTCACCAACCTACCACGCCCATTAGCATTTTTCAATGCTAGAAGAAAAAGTAGGAAGGCCTATTTCACGTTAGGGAGAAGTCTATATATTTTTGGCCATTTAACTATTTGCTCGAGTTTGTTTTTGGCCATAAAACTCTAAAATCAGAAATCTTTGAGCACTAATAAGCTGTCAGTACCAAACAAAATTGGTCACAAAATAACTATTTGTTTTAATAAATGACAGAAGAATATTTTTTTTAGATAACGAAATCACAGAAAGATATGAAATTTGTACCAGTTTTTTTTTTCTAACAAAAGTTTGAACATTCTATTGGTTCTTGAGGAAACTACCTACGTACAGTACTGTCCTCTCCACCCGTTGATTTAACAAATGGGGCTACTGCTTTATTTTCAGGAGCACAAGATCTTCAGTAATTTATATGGCACACATGCTTGGGATACTGATGGAATTAATGTAAGCCTAATAATATTTACCTTAATTCTGCTATAGATTGCTCCAGCCACACGCGTGTGGATCACCAGCTGCGCCCCGATCACAGCTTTGCCATTGAAGGAAGGGTCCAGGTCTCCAAGATAAGGCGAGCTCAGGAAGAGAGTAGTGAAGGTGTGCACTGGTTGGGTATTCAGCCGGCCCGGCGAGTGGGACGACCAAGCTTTTATAGTAGTAAAAGTGGAGGAAGGAGGTCCATTGTTTTGGGCCCAGTGTGTGAACAAGTTGAATTGGGTGTGCTTGAAATGAAATGAGCAGGAAAGGTCTCAGGGAAATGCAGACGATATGGGTCCGCTGCAGCGTAAATTTAATTTGAGATGCCAGTAGTTGCGAGCCCTTAGTATAGCAGCTCCAACTTATGTCTGTGCTCTCTGATATATAGTCGTAGGAACAAGCATAGAAAGAAATATTTCTCTGTCATTGTGCTATCCTCATAACGGTAAAATAGCACAGCCTCCATGCCACGCTCATCAGAATACATGCATGGCCATATATATGTTCAAACTTGATAGCAGGTTTCCTTGCTCCAAATGATACCGGAGAGTTTGACCTTGGAGAAGATGCTTGACGTACAATAAATAGGGTTGCAAAAGAGGTGTAGTGATCGATGAAGTCAGCAGTCTGACTCCACGTCCCTCACAAAACTTTTCCTGCACAATCTGCATGTCAAGGAAGCGCTGAGGATGCTTCTCAGCAACTTCCTTCCTTCCAGTATACAATCATCAATCATGGCGTAGGAGGACCTGACCTGACACACGGATGATATATAGCAGACGGATCGGAACGCGATTTCTGAATGCCAACGACTCGAAAACTTGTCCGACGGTAGTTGGCCTCTATGCCATCATGATTTTGTATTTAGGTACAAAATTTCAGTGTCGGTAACACGAGTAGCAGCAACTAACTAGACGTAGGGACATTCTGTCCGAACCAAAGATAAACCCCAGTATCCTCTTAGCACATCATCCGCCCAGACGCCGCAAATATTAGAAATTTACTAGTCGGTGGCAACTCGAAACACCGACACCCATCTATGCCATCATGATTTTGTATTTAGGTGAGTTGTATACATGGGTATTAAAATAATGTAAAGTAATCCCATCTATTCTGTTATATAAATAATGTAAAGGAATCCCCTCAATTGTGCATCTAAATATCTCACATATGTTACTGTATAAAAATAGCCAACAATAACCCTTTGTATTTATTACATCTAAGTTATGTACCATTATAAAAAAAAATTAACCCATTAACACAAAAGTCAATAGCAAAAAGCTAACTGCCAAAAGGTCAGCTTCTTGTTCCTTCATAATTCACTTTTGTTATTACTGTAATGGAGTATTTTATTTGAGTTGCCATGTTCATTCAGCAACCTACTGCACCATTAGCAGTTTTCAATGCTCGAAAAAAGGCAGGAAGACCTCTTTCATGTTTATTTTTTTTTTGATAATTGAAGGCCTTTTTCATGTTAGGGAGAAGTCTATATATTTTTGGCCATTTAGCTATTGCTCAAGTATGTTTTTGGCCAACCAACTCTAAAACTAGAAAGGTCTAGCGTGCACACTAGTGTGGGTGTGGGTGTGAGTTTGTGTGCGTGTGGTGGTGTGAGTTGGTGTGTACGTTCAGATAATACAACTTGTACTCGAAGAGTTGAGGCATAAAAAAACCTCTAAAACTAGAAATTTTTGACCACTAAGCTATCAGTATCGAACAAAATTGGTCAAATTGTACCAAAAAAACTGTCCTCTCCGCCTGTTGATTTAACAGAAGGAGTTACTGCTTTTATTTTGAGGTGCACAAGATCTTGAGTAATATATATGGCATACAAGCTTGGGATTCTGATGGAATAAATATAAGCCTAATCTTTACCTTAGCTCTAGATTGCAGCAGCCGCGCGCGTGTGGAGCACCAGCTGCACCCCGATCACAGCTTCGCCACGGAAGGAAGGACAAGAGGATCATCGTCTAGGTGGTCATGCCACCTGGCACTCTGACTTCACCGCCAACTGGACTTCATGGCACTCTGACTTCACCGCCAACTGGACTTCATGGCACTCTGACCGCCAACTGGACTTCATGGCACTCTGACTTCACCGCCAACTGGACTTCATCGCCGACTAGTTGGTCGAACAGTTCGATGCTCACTTCTGCTCAGGCATTCACTTCACCGCCGATCAGATTGCTTGTCGCTTCGACTTCATCGACAGCTATGCTGGGGACTTGCCAGCTATGCTGGGGACTCCTCAGCAATTGGATTCTCCGTGCAAGAGTCGCTAGCTAAGCTGGAGACTCCCTTAGTGTTTGGATTTTGCTACGTCTCATCGCTGTGCTTTCAAGCTCCTCCATGCTGTTCAGATCAGGGTGCTGATCTTGTGCAACACTTTTGGGGTCTTGATAAGTACATGACAGATGACGTTGACAAGCTTTTATTAAAATTCTTTGACCTGCTACAATATTTATTTTTTATCTTCCAGAGGGCTCGGGGACTAAGTGGCTACACTTCACATAGCGGTGAATGTAGTACTTTTTTAATTTTTATGTTGAGCCCCTTACATCCTTCTAGCAAATTTTACTCGAGTAAGTCCGAGCCTAGCTCCTAGTTGAACTGCTCGGACATCTGCTTCAACTGCTCGAACGCCGTTTTCAACTGCTCAGACGCCTTGGTTAACAACTCGGATGCTTGTTTCAACAACTCAGCTCCCAGTTAAACTGGTCGGAAGCCTGTCTCTTGTGATCAGCAGAAAGTTGGATAGCTCAGACAAGCACAAGATGGCATTGCTCAAAGGATACAAGGCGCTCGGGGACTAGATGTGGGGGACATACGCCCGGTACCCACAAGACAAGACATGGGCCGCGCCCCAAAAGTGGCATAGCCCACAAGATCAAGGCATACACCGCAAGGCTACAAAAAAGATGTGATTGATTATATAATAACAAATATGATATTTTCCTTGTAACCCTACCCCTCCAGAGTATATAAGGAGGGGCGGGGTTCCCCTAGACAATAGATCGAATCTCATACTCAATCAATACAAAATAACACAGCACAGGACGTAGGGTTTTACGTCACGCTGACGGCCTTAAC